GGGGGGGGGGAGAAAAAAAACTATAAATACTACCCTTTTTTTCCTAAAAATCACACTCAATCCATCTCTCAATCTATCAATCTCTCAAATCTCAATATCTCAATCTTATTATCTCTTTTTAATTTTCTACAATTTATATTCATATAATAATATAAATATATATATATATATATATATATATATTAATATATTACATAATAACCTTTAAATACATTCATTATTCATTTTATTAATTATCATATATTTTTAGTTTATTACTAATATTATAATTTCTAAATTTAATATATAATTAATTTTTTAAATATATTCTTTAAATAATTTAAATATATAATTAATTTTTTAAATATATTATATATTTTAAAAAATTTATAATTTTTGAAATTTTCGAAATTTTAATATATACAATTTCGAAATTTTTTTAAATTTTCAAAATTTAATATATTATTTTTTTAAATATCAAAAATATATATATTAAAATGTCGAGAAAGTCCGGTAGAAGGTCCGTGGATATGGGCGCCGTGAACCGAAGTTTGGGGAAAGGCAAAGCTAAAGCCACCTCCGACGGTTCGACCTCACGCAGTTCTGGAGGAAGGCACTCCGTTCTTCCTTTCCTACTATCCCCGATCAATTAATCGGCGACGCTTTGACAGATCAAGAATTCGACCAGTGCATTTCTGGTAGAGGCGACGCGAATCTCTCCACTCTTGATAGTTTATTCGAGGATATTGATGAAGCAGGACTAGATAATCTGGACGGGGACGGGGAGCCTACACCGCACAGCAACGATGTCGACGAGGAGGCACGTGAGCCCGAGACCTCTCAAGGTTCGGACAAAGGTAAAAAAATTAAAATCAGATTTATTTGTTTATCATTTTGAAAAAGAAACAAAAGATGACATAGTTTATGGAACTTGTAAATATTGTGCCACTGTCATTAAAATGGGAGTTTCCGGCGGTTATGGTGGTTTGGAAAAACATCTAAGGTCGAGGCATCCCGTGGAGTACGCCAAATACGCGGCGAAAAAGAAAGGATGACAAGAAGTGCAAACCCAAATTTCTCAGTTTGCTAACAGGGGTAAGGGCGGCCTTTTTGCTTATAGCGACGAGGAAAATAAGCAAAAAATGGCCAAAATGATTTGTGAAGAAAATTTTCCATACATGTTTTCTAAAAAACTTGGATTTATTGATTATTGCCAACATGCATTAAACCCTCAAGCAAGAGGTTTTTCAAGAAAAACAATTAAACGAGAAATTATTCAACAGTATAAACTTGAAAAAATAAATTTGGCAAATTTTTTTCCCAATTTTAATTCTCGTGTTACTATTTGTTCTGATATTTCGGGTGAAACATATCATAATTTCTCTTATACGGGTGCTACTTGTCATTGGATCAATAGTGATTGGATTATGCATAAACGTGTTCTTGCATTCCGTGATTTCAATGATTCTCATACTGCTGAAAATATTTTTCTATTGCTTCAGAGTATTTTGCGGGAATACAACTTAGTTGATAAAGTGTTTGTATTTGGTTTTGATAATGCTACAAATAATACTGCTGCTATTCCTAGACTTAAAGAAATTTGCCCCCTACTACGACTATAGGTAGATTTCTGCATCAACAGTGTGTGTGTCATATTTTAAATTTATGTGTTCAACAGGAATTAGAAGCTATGGGGGGGGGGGGGGTTGACGAATATTAAAGATGGAATTAGAAAAATTTGGGGTAGTCGTCTTATTTCGAAGTCCTAGAAGACATTCTATAAGTCTAAGGGTAGAAGACAAATAACATTTGCGAAAGATATCAACATTAGATGTAATAGTACTTACAAGTTGATAGCACAGATTCTAAGCTCCAAAGAGGAACTTGCTGAATTTTTTAGGGATGAACTTTGTTTAATCATTTCATCTATTCAATTTGTTATTGTTGAAAAATTGAATGCCGTATTAGAAGTTTTTAATAACGCAACTCTTACTTTTTCACATGTTTACCAACCAACTACAAATATATTTTTTAAAGAGTGCGTTACAATCGCAACATGTTTTCGTGAAAGTTTGGCTGATCCAAATTTGTACCCTTATGTCTATCCTATGAAAGATAAATGGTGTGCTTATTATTTGTACATTCCTGATATTTATAAAATAGGTATTATTTGTGATCCACGTTTTAAGATTGAAAATTTTAAAATTTTAATTGACTATTATTACACTTGTTTTTTAGATGAAAATAGTTATTACTACAACCTTTTAATAGAATGGGAAAAAGAAAGAGATAATGCTATAACTCTTTTTAAGAATTTGTTTAAGGAACATCAAGGGTTATACGGTAATGTACCAGAAGAAACAGAACCTCCTCCGCCCCGAAATCAAAAAAAAGTTTTAAAGGAATAGTCGGTGGGCTTCCTGCAAAGAAAGGGAAGCGTGCTCAGCCGTCGACGAGTTCAAGTGGTACAACAGTAAGCTCGCACAACGAACTTGCTATGTACCAAGGGATGCCATGCGATTACGATGACGACGACGACGTGGAGTTTGACGTCCTCGGATGGTGGAAGCGAAACGAACACATGTTCCCATGTCTCGAAATGCTAGCAAGACAAGTGTTGTCCGTCCCGGTATCAACCGTAGCAGTGGAACGAGAATTCAATGATGGCGGAAACTATCTAACCGACTATCGAAATTGTCTTAACACTGAATCTCTTGAAACACTTTTTTGCAACCAAGATTGGCTCTTAGCAAGACGTCGAGCTCAAGAGTCAGGGTACGAATTCAATTCGGAGCATTACATGAATGCAACCACAGATGGAAGTCCGAGTTCTGAGGAATAAGTTATAAACCTTTTTTATGTTAATGTAGATATGTAATAATGTAAATATGTAATTAGATTTTTTTAGGTGAGAGATATATAAGCTCCTTCGAGGGTTTCTTTACAGTTCTTTACCTCGTCGCTTTTTTTGAACCGTCAGGATATTAAATGTAGTTGTTCTTCAGTTTGTGTATTTCTCATTTTACAATATTTAAATAACAACTAAATTTTTAGATTTTTTATTTCATTCTTTTCTCTAACAATTGCAAATTTACAATTTTACACTTTTAAAATTTTAAAAAAAAGCAAAAAAATTGGCGGGTGGCCGAAACCGGCCAGTCCGGTACCGGAACTGCCGGTCCGGGTGCCGGAACTTGTACCGCCCGGTCCGGTCACGGTACCAAGGGATGGCGGTACCGGAACCGTACCGTGTCCACCCCTATCACTGAGTATTTGTCCAGTTTTGATTTTTTTTGGTCAACTGTTTTCAACCTTTGACCTATAATTAAATAAAATATATATTATTTATTAATTAGATAAAATAATATTTTGAAAATATTTGATAGAATGCATCTAATAAAACTATTTTTGTATCAAAATCTAATGTCATTTTTATTTAATTTGAGTCCAAAGTTTATCAATTTTGACTGAAAAAAGTCAAAAGTGGACAAATATTCCGGAACGGAGGGAGTATAAATTATTCTTTACGAACCCATCAACAAGATGTCGTCAAACAATGACTACAGTCTACAACTCTATATCATCGAATGACAAAAATTCACATAGGAAATTAGGAAATAGTTTTGAAGATATTTTCTGAAGTTGGGTCCTTCTAAAAAATTGTAGCATCTAAGGATGAGAGGTAGTTTTGGTGATATGAAATCTGCACTAAACTCTGAACTTAGTCAAAGTATAAACTTCTTTTTCTTTGATATCATCTTAGAGAGTATCGTATCAGTATGCGGCTCTTTTAATTATAATTATTTTGTTTAACACTTTCTTGATTATGGATCACACTATTTGTTAAATATATTATGTATATTTAATGTTTATTGTATTTGGTAGGTAGGGGTGGACACGGTACGGTTCCGGTTCCGGAACCGCCGGTTCCGGTACCGCCACCCCATGTCACCGGAACCGTCACCGTGCCGGCCGGTACCGGTTCCGGTTCCGGTTCCCGGACCGGCGGTTCCGGTACCGGACCGGCCGGTTTCGCCCCCCCACCCTATTTTTTTTTGCCTTTTTTAAAATTTTTAAGTATAAAATTTTAAATTTGCAATTGTTTAAGGAAAGAATGAAGTACCGGAATGTAGTTGTTATCTAAAAATGTAGTTGTTATTTAAATATTTTAAATGAATAATACACTAACTAAAGAACAACCACATTTAATATCCTGACGGTTCAAAATAAGCGACGAGGTAAAGAACCGTAAAGAAACCCTCGAAGGAGCTTATATATCGCTCAGCTAAAAAAACTAATTACATATTTACATTAACAAAAAAAATTATAACTTATTCTTCAGAACTCGGACTTCCATCTGTTGCATTCATGTAATGCTCCGATTCGAGTTGGTACGTTGACTCTTGAGCTCGATGTCTTGCCAAGAGCCAATCTTGGTTGCAAACAAGTGTTTCAAGAGATTCAGCGCTAAGACAACTTCGAAAGTCGGTTAGAATGTTGCCGCCAGCACTGAATTCTCGTTTAACTGCTACAGTTGATACCGGAACGGATAACACTTGTCTTGCTAGCATGCCGAGACATGGGAACATGTGTTCGTTCCCCTTCCACCATCCGAGCACGTCAAAATCCACTTCGTCTTCATCGTAATCGCATGGCACACCCTGGTACATAGAAAGTTCGTTGTGCGAGCTTACTGTTGTACCACTTGAACTCGTCGAAGAATGAGCACGCTTCCCTTTCTTTGCAAGAAGCCCACCGACTATTCCGGCAAAACCTTTTTTTGATTTCGGGGGCGGAGGTGGTGCTGTTTCTTCTTGTACACTGCCGTATAACCCTTGATATTCCTCAAACAAATTCTCAAAAAAAGTTACAGCATTATCTCTTTCTTTTTTCCATTCTACTAAATAAGAGTAGTAATAACTATTTTCATCTAAAAAACACTTGTAGTAATAATCAATTAAAATTTTATAATTTTCAATTTTAAAGCGTGGATCACAAATAATACCTATTTTATAAATATCAGGAATGTACAAATAATAAGAACACCATTTTTGTATCATAGGAGAGACATATGGGTACAAATCTGGATCAGCCTTACTTTCACGAAAACATGTTGCGATTGTAACGCACTCTTTTAAAAATGTATTTGTAGTTGGTTGGTAAACATGAGAAAAAGTAAGAGTTGCGTTATTAAAANCAGCAAGTTCCTCTTTATATTTTAGAATCTGATGAATCAATTTGTATGTACTATTCCATCTAATGTGGATATCTTTTGCAAAAACTATTTCTTTTCTACCTTTAGACTTACAGAAAATCTTCCATTTTTTCGAAACAAGACGAGCCCCCCAAATTCTTTTAATTCCTTCTTTAATATTCGTCAAAACTCCGCCCATAGCTTCTAGTCCCTGTTGAACACATAAATTTAAAACATGACAGGCACACCGTTGATGCAGAAATCTACCCATAGCCGTAGACGGTGGGCAAATTTCTCTAAGTCTAGGAATGGCTGCAGTATTATTAGTAGCATTATCAAAACCAAATGAAAACACTTTGTCAGATAAGTTGTATTCCTGCAGAATACACTGAAGCAATAGGAAAATATTTTCAGCAGTATGCTGTTCATTGAAATCACGAAATGCAAGAACACGTTTATGCATAATCCAATCACTATCTATCCAATGACAAGTAACACCCATATAAGACAAATTATGATAAGTTTCACTCCAAATATCAGAACAAATAGCAACACAAGAATTAAAATTAAGAAAAAAATTTGCCAAATTTATTTTTCCATTTTTATACTGACGAATAATTTCTCGTTTAATTGTTTTTCTTGAAAAACCTCGTGCTTGAGGGTTTAATGCCTGTTGACAATAATCAATAAAACCAAGTTTCTCAGAAAACATGTTTGGCAAATTTTCTTCACAAATCATTTTGGCCATTTTTTGCTTATTTTGCTCGTCGCTATAAGCAAAAAGGCCGCCCTTACCTCTGTTAGCAAACCGAGAAATTTGGGTTTGCACTTCTTGTCATCCTTTCTTTTTCGCCGTGTATTTGGCGTACTCCACGAGATGCCTCGACCTTAGGTGTTTTTCCGGACCGCCATAACCGCCGGAGACTCCCATTTTTATGACGGTCCCACAATGTTTACAAGTTCCATAAACTACGCCATCTTTTGTTTCTTTGTCAAAATGATAAACAAATAACTCTGATTTATATTTTTTTTACCTTTATCCGGACCTCGAGAGGTCGCGGGCTCACCTGCCTCCACGTCGACGTCGTTGCTCTGCGGTGTAGGCTC